CTGCATTTGCTTGTACGCCCACTGCCAATCCTCTGGAGTCACTTCACCACCTAGAGATCGGATCACAGAACCGCCACTGCACGAACCAAATTTACAGCATTCCATCAAGGAGAAGATCAAGGAGAAGACGAACAGTACTTAATTGATCACCCTGGAGCAGCTCCCATCACAACAGCACAAGGACATGCACCACCCTTCAGCAAGATCTAGTTTTCGAGGTATCGCCAGAGTCAAACTGGTTCTAAGGAATACAAGACACGTGCTGCAGTTGGTGTAAGTTTATCTCAACCCATATTACATATCAATCTGGTCCCTATGTTGGATCAGTCTACTTATGTTAGATAAATTATGGTATAAATTTAATAACCAATCATATGCATATCAATCTCAGGCACCTCAAAGAGAAGATGAAGAAGACAACGTCGTTAAAATCAAAGCAGCCTTGCAAAAAATGCACGAGGTATGTCCTTGAGTAACTAAGAACTCATTTCCAACTCTCTATGTTCGTCAAACCAAAAAATAAACCGTCAAAGGCTGCACTTCTTGTAAATCAACCAAGCTAAAAGCTTCTGTCCCATCAATTAAAATGAACAAATAACAAAAACTGAGTGCTTTTCAACTCCTTGCTCTGGATGTTGTTCAACTTCTTGCCCTGTCTATGTTGTTCAACTTCTTGCCATGTCCCTCTTCTGAAACATAAAAAAAAAAGATAGAAGAATATTGAAACTATAACTTTTAGCAAAGGTTCTCATACAATATATACATTAGGCAAGAAACGAACACTGAAAATGTAAAATCCGTAAAGGCTTTCATTGAATTCCAATACGATGCAATATATTAATTTAACAAAAAACAAACCTGTTGAGCTTTTTGAGTTTGACTTTCTGAATACTTAGTGGAAGGTTCAGCACTATGTCTCGTATGCTGCTTAGCTCCCTTCTCTTGTCGACTAGGCATAGTATTACTCCTAGTACGTGCCCCGATCTGTCACAGGAGGACAACTTAACTCTTAAGCTAATAGCTGCTTCAAACAAATTGACAATTTGGTGAATAAACCAATGCTACTTAACCTTTTGTGGTGGCTGACTTTTTCCTACGGATTCTACAGTTGTATTATGCCTACTGGTTCGCTGGTTCTATAAAACCAAAATAACAACTTTAATTTATTGACTCTAATAATTATATCAAGAACAAATAATCAGAGATGCTAATTACCTTTGGGGGTTGACCACCTTGGTCATCTTCTTCATCATCGTCTCCATCTTCTCCGTCATCTCTATCATCGTCCCCATCATCGTCCATGTCATCATCTTCATCCTCATCCTCCTCATCTGACTGAGGTTCTATCACGTCGGCTGGGGGGTTAGTACAAGTGCTCCTATAATGCCCATCCCTTAGCCCGCAGTTTCCACACTTTCTTCTTTTTTTCTTAAGCTGTTTTTTCCCTTTTCCTTTCCTACAGCCCTTAAACCTCACTTGTTTAGGATTCAATACACCTTTGAACTTGTCGGGTATGACAATCTTTTCTCTCTCGGCGGGGGTTTTCTTTTGCATCTCCAACTTGTTGCATGCTGCTGTCAACTCCCCTTGAGCCAGACGATAAGAGTCAGGAGACTCTGCCCCCAATAAGCAGAATCGCATAGTGGAGAACTGTAGTGACCCGTACCTAATACTGAAACTGTTGTCATCCCCCAATGAAACGGGTTTTGGAAGAGTGGTTAATGACTTAGGGTTCTTTGAGCAACGTCGGAGTACAAGTTTTTCAGGAAAACTCTTCACCCTTTCTTCTTTCAGAACAAAGATCATATGAGCGCACGGTATTCCAATACTCTTAAACATTTCACAACTGCACTCCAAATCTTTCGTTTCAATGTTGTACTTCACCTCCACGGCCTTATCTTTGTTGAACATGGTTACAGTGTAGGTGTGTAAATTCCCCTCTTCAGTTTGCTTATCCTTTATGACTCCAATAACCTGCTCCAGCTCAGCTTTGAATTTTATAAATGCAGCTTTTGAAAAAAGCTTCGCTGCACTTTGTTCCAGGGGCAATAGGATTGTGTTCTTTACCGGAACTAAACCATAATTAGACTCAAAGTCTAATCTAACCTCTGTCTCCCTCATGTCCCTGATCCATCGGTCGTATTGAATAAAAAAGTCGAGCAAACTGATCCTCTCATGTCCATACCTAGCAACAACTGCATTCATGCTTTCACATCTTGATGTGGTTTTCAACCCAGCAAAAAAGTGGGAGCGCAAGTATGTGTCCGCCCATTCATTACGTCTCCCATATAGGTTTTTCGACACCCATTGGTTGTTCTGGAGTTCACATTCCTCTACCAATGCATTCCACTTCTCCTCAAATTCACCTGGCTCGTAATCAGCAGTTACAAAGTGACTCCATCGGGGTTCAAAGTCTGGTCGGTTCTTCACCCTGCTAGTGATATTCTTGGACAAATGCCAAGCACATAGCCGATGTGTTGCATTTGGGAACACATTAGCAATAGCCTTCCTCATTGCTTTATCCCCATCTGTGACAACTGTATGTAGCGGATTTCCCCCCAACATTTCCTTCACTATATTCAACGCCCAAGTATAGGTTTCTTCAGTCTCGTTAGGCAACCAGGCACTCCCAAATAAGCAAGATTTGAAATGATGATTGATACCTGCATGGTCAACCAGAAACTCGGAAAAATCAGAAACTTTTGTTACTTTCAGTGATATTAAACACGAGTCTGAAGCCCACAATAAATTTTCAGTTTGTGTACATTAAACCTGCTGATCTCTCCTGATTCTTTGTTGCATTTTCAGTATGTTCTAATGAAGTTCAACTAATTAATGGCTCTACCTATCTTCTCAAAGCATTTACCTAATTACTCTCTTGTTAAACCTCTACCAAATTTTGTTGCTTCCACTTGCCTCACTTCCCCAAATTTAAAAAGCTTATTAACATGGAAGGACCTACTCAACTGCACCAGCTCTATAATAACACCCTGACCATTCACCATAACACATGAGAAAATCCAATTCCATTCAAAATTTTCCAATCATTTGAAGGAGGAAACAGAACATCAAAACCAACCGATCATTTCAACAATTTGTATCTTAGTTAGCAGTTTATGCTACTGTTTTCTGGATGACATTATGTGTCTTCAAAACATAAAGAAAAGGGTAATGTTAAGAGGGGATATTAGAATGGCGTACCTGTGAAAATAACCAACGGCATATTGTAAATGTTTTTTTTGTACGTTGTGTCAAATGCGAGCAACTCTCCAAAACATGAAATGTCTGCTAGGCTAATGCTGTCGGCCCAAAATAAACTATGGAGCGCGTTTTCCTCAGTAGTGTATCGGAGGAGGAAGTGTGGGTCTGTGCTTTTCTTTGATTCTAGATAGGCGAGTGCCGTTGCTGCATCGCCCTCGCTGATCCTTTCAGCACGATCTCTGGTGCAGAAGTTTAACCCATCTCTGACTGTATAGCCAAGTTTGTCATGCCCTCCAGCACTATGCACAGCTAGCTTAATCGCTTGGGATGGTTTCATCCCAGCATCTTTTTTAAATCGAAGGTCTGCCTTGTCTGCTTCTGTTAACCCTCGATGCGACCGCAAGTGGTGTGTCCATTTCTGCAGTAGTGGTTCATGAGTATGCTGTTGGATAAATATATCCACAATCCACTTCGAATCTTCATTGTTATGATCTCCATCTTCCTCCATTGTTTTGTACCTTTAAGTTTTTTCTAGTTTGGGGTGTCGGCAGGAATGAAGAGAAGCGATTGTTTGATCGTTAGTCCTTCTAGGTTTATTTATATGAGGTGCATGTGTGTTATTTTAAATACATGAAGGGCTAGGTTATTTTATCAGGGGCTCGGTTATAAGGGCCCTAATGGGCTTAAAATTCTGTCCATCTTTAATAGGCTCTATCTATAGAGAGACGAAGTAAGTTGCATACCTTTTCTTTGTCTGGGTGGGATCAGAAGCCTGTATTAATAAGAAGAGTTTGTTGTTGGCTGGAATCTCAATCCCTTCTTTCTGTATTTCGTTTCCGTTGGACTCTTAGATGCTCTTAAGGTAAAGATCTCTGTCCTTTGCATGCTTTCGTTTGTCTGGTGATTTTTATTAGATTTAAAGTCTGTTAGTATGTGTTTGTTCTGAATGAATTCGGGGTTTCACAACACTTATTCTCCTCCATCTTTGAGTTAAAATCGGAGAATTTTCACAACTCCTCGGGTTACAGGGAGCTCAACTACCATTTTTCTAGTTTAGCTTTCTTTCTAGAGTTACCTTGATTATCAAAACATGACAAATTGTCTTTCTTCTTTCAGCAAGCATTGGTTGGTGAAGGGTTAGGATTCAGGCCGACCTGCTGCCCTTGGCACTCCCAGAAAGGCAAAGCCAAAAACTTTGGTCGATGGCAGATGGACCTTAGCATTCCGGGATGAAGAATCCTGCAAGTATGCTCTGTCGATGCTTTCTTTTTTCTGTCTGCTTTTAGACTCAAATCTGCTACATTTTCAGAAGAAAGCTGCTAAGCACAGGAAGCAATCATTCTCAGAAGGGTATGTTTGATCTTAAGCATTCTAGTTTGATGAACTCTCTTGACGGGGTTGTGGATTGGCAACTAGATTGTTTTTCTTCTTCTTCCCTACGTTTTCTTGAATTTGTAATGTTGATTGTAGATTTAGATGTAAATTATGATATTTCAGTCTCTTTGCCCTCTTTTTTACCTTGCAGATGGGTAGAATTTACTGATAAAATTGTGGCAAAAAGACAACAAAAAGACAACAAAAAGATGTGAATCTTGATACATGTTATCTTATGTCGCCTCTTATGAGTGGAGAGAATCTATGAAAGGATGAGAATGACTTTTGATCTACATGTCGCCAGCGTTTGTTGTTGTTGGCTAGAATCTCAATACCTATCAAGTAGCATGGACTAGCTCTTGTCATAAACAGGATGCGAATACAGTTTTTAGGAGCTGTTCTGTTTGGGTTTTGTACTACCTTCTAAGTCATTTGTACTTTTATTTCGTTTGTCCATGATGTCATAATGAAGAAATTTAGCACTAGCTCTTGATGTTGTTTCTGTGGCAGCTAAGACATTGTTTAGCAGTATTGAACAAGAAACAAGCTCTAGTCTATGATACTCTTATACCTACTCTGATAACTAAGACACATTGTTAAGTAATAGACAGGAAGACACGGGCCTCAACAATGCCTTAAACTAAGAGAAGACTAACAAGGTAAAATATGTCTAGCCACGTAACTTGGGAAAACCGAAGGCATGAACAACAAGCTCTAGTTCAACGGAAAGGATTCTCAAACAATAAATAAACTAGTTCAACTTGGGAAAACTGAAGGCATGAACAACAAGCTCTAGTTCAACGGAAAGGATTCTCAAACAATAAATAAACTAGTTCAACTGATAAAACAAGAAAAAAAAAAAAAAACTTAAAGGTATGCATCTCCACGCATGACAGCCATATCTTTGAGGATCATGTTCTTCCATTTAGACGAGTGCTTATGAGCACGTCGAAGCATCTTCTCCAACTTAGCATTCTGTGGCCCACCAACCAAGTCCAGAGCAAGCCTAATTCGTTCCCCATCGACACAAGGCTGTGTACACACGAAAATAAGTAAACATTAGAAAACAAACCTTGCATTTCATTGTCAAACAAATATCATAACAGACCAAGATCCCTTACCCCGACATCATAACTTCCCAAGTTACTTGAGAACCTCATCCATAAGCAAACCCACATGCCACCATCAAATCTAATACAAAAAGCTACTTCATAAGTTTATGCTTAAATCAAATGTTTCGAAGTGTTATCAAACAAATATGTTCCCCCTTACTTGTTTTCTTGTATAGGAACCCCGTCAGGAATAACCAGCTGAAACGCAGGAATTTTCGGCAGCGCCTTCGTTGTACCCAATTCAAAGTACAACTTAAGGAATAAATCATGTAAAACATTCATCTGCAAAACCATGGGAAGATTACTCAACCGAAGAAGGAATATAAACCAAATTAACTATAAAGCTACACTAGTTTTTACTAACCATATGGCGTACGGTCTTCCTACGAAACTCATTGTTGTTTGCCCTAGGTGCTGAGTCGACTAAATGAACTTCTTCTAATTCCATCATTACCACGGCCAGGTACCAATGCTTACCATCCTTCAATGGTAGATAGATCTGACAAATGTTGACAGTAAGATCACCACCATAGAACAAATTATATGGGAAAAACATGTATACAATACTTCTTGAATTCTTAAAGAAGTACCTTGTTGCATCCGTAGGCATTGCGCAAGTAGCTGAATCGATAATCATTGAATACACTGTCAGCAGTATAGACATACTTCTCTACTCCCACCTAGAAGTTCGCTTTGGGAAATTAATAAGCGAAAAACAGTATGATATAAAGAAAAAATAAGAATTTATTAGTAGTGTTCCAGATTTGCATTACCTGTATATCGGCAGGTAGGAAGCACAACTTGTCCTCAATTCTACGTTGCTTCTCATACAGCACAAAATGGTTGAGATGGCATGCATACATTGAAATGAACTTCAAACATAAAACATAAAGGATTAACAGTGAGCTACGTGTGCATTCAATTTAATATTAATAACATATAACAAGTTAAGGACCCAATTTACCTCATCATCTAGGTACTCGTTAGGCAACAAGCTCCACAGTGAGCTACGAGTACAAGACTGGGAACCATTCTCGACTAGAATCTTCTTAGTAGCAAGATCTTCCACAAAGATGCAATATGCCAGTCCAACCTCCTCTGAAGTCAACTGCATGCTACTGGTGATAGGAAATTGCATCACGACCTAACACACAAAAGCCAAATAGTAACAAATGAGATACATTGCATAAAACTAAGCACTTCTAAATTCTAATATAGTACCAGGAATACCTCAGAATTGGTTGTCAAGTCAAGCTCATCATCATCATCATCATCAATGATAATGATATCAGAAATTGGTGTCGCATCGCCATCTCTAAACTCAAGCCTCCTCCTTGTAAGGTTCTGTCAATTTTGAGCAAATAATAATAGCACTTAGTGAAAAGTTTGATTTGTTTTTTTTTTTATTATGATGGGGACAGCCACTTTATTATCACTATTATAAAAAGAAAGAAATGTACAAATCATGGATTACTATACCAAATTAGCTAGAACCTAAGGAGCCACGGCCATACAAAAAGACAAACTAAGAAAACATACACTAATCCACCAAACTAGATGACAAAACAAGGAACAAAAGGCAAACTGAAAATCAATAGCACTATGAGTGACCAACAACTACACAACACCAGAAGGTAAGAAACCACTACAAAACATAAGCTGTAAACGCCATGCTTAAAGGCACGCACCACTACAAAACATAAGCTGTAAACGCCATGCTTAAAGGCACGCAGAGAAAAAAGGATAAAAAAACACAAACATAATACATATCAAACCTTGTGTCGTGAAGAATTTCCTATAAGGATGTTATTGATCTTTGGGCTTTTTTCAATAGCCATATCTTCCGCCACCCTCTTGTCCCTAATTTCAGTAGTGAAACAAAAAAAATTTCACCAATAATAGGTAAAGTTATACATTGGCAACAATGGATGCATACAAAATCAGGAACAAGGTAAACTAACAATGGCCATTACCCGACTTTTCGATCCATGTTCTTCGGCAGAACTTTGACTAACAAAATAACACGGTGGAAAACTATAAAACAACAATTCACATAGGTTTTTGTCAAATCCAGCAGCTAAAATGACCGTATATATAACACCATCCTTCATCATAACTCAACCGACTTGTCATTTACAATGGGAGATGGAAGATAACTATCTAACATTAAAAAAAAATAAGGAAAAAGGAAGTTTAACAGCAGAGTAACCTTAGACTTACGCACACAGCTGGAAAGCAAGGATGAGAATAACGCAGATAAATAAAAGAGAAGCAAAAACCGGTTATATAGAAGACAAACTAATAAGGATATGCGTCCAATTAAAGGAACTTCCACTTTCCCCGCTAAAAACGGCATAAAAAAGCCTAACTAATAAATATATTTCCTTTTAATTTGCATTCATACATTAGTTACTTTATATGCAAAAAAAAAAAAAACCGAGGCATTTTTGGGATTCTTATACTTTACTCTCTTTAACAAGAATATGAATGGAGTAAACAATGATACCATAACATATGAGTGAAAAGCTTTCCTTTCTAGTTGGTGAGCAGTCAGCCTTGCCGACAGATAACGTGCCTCCACCAAATTGACTATCAAATACAAACAGAAGTTGGGGTAAGGTTAAACGATCTAGACTTTCTTTCCGGTTCCAAATATGAGAGAGAGAGAGAGAGAGAGAGAGAGAGAGAGAAATTTATTCCAACATGCACACACATACACATGCACATAACACACGACCTCTTGGGTTGGCATCCCTTTCACAGAAATGAAACTGGACTTTCAAAAGAGACCCAAAAATTGAATAGCGTCATGGTGAAAAGGGTAGATTGGTGAAGATAATAAACACACTTAGCATGGTACATAATGATGGGATAGAGTAGATTGAAGCTGAAGCATAAAGAAACCATCTTTCTACAGTTAACGAGGAAAGGAACAGTGATGCTGATGGTGTCACCTACCTGTTAGTAATATTCAATAAAAAACAGGTTAAAATGTAGAACCTACAAAAATCAGTTCAAGTAAGTTGATATATCACTTTCATCGCTCTATTCTTACGTGCCCCCCTCTATCAGACAGCCATCTTGCTTCTGCTGGGATCAAGACTAACTTTTGGCCATACCATGCCAGCCTAGCTGATATTCTACAGAACTTCAACTATCAAGCTTGAAAAAATATTATGGGAAAAGGACCTCATGAGAATAAGCACATCACACACAAATTGTAATGTTTAGAAAACAAGTTATCGAAGATGGTGGGACATGTCTTCCTTTGCATACTTAAATCAATGCAGATATACAAGGAGATATCACAAACGGCAAAATGTGCAACTTGTTTGCATTAATTGCAACAGCTTCTACCACTTCACATGGTGATGGGTGGAATGAGATTAGAGAAAAAGAATGGAAATCAGCTTTGGCATCAAGGCAATGGCTTCCTCCACAGGCAGGTAACATACCGGACATGCTGATATGCGAGAACAGTAAATATTAGCTTTATGGAAATGCACCATCATAATACCTAAACAAAAAACCTCTCAACAACAATAACATCTCTGGCTCTTTTTGAAATCACACCATAGCCCGCTCCCTAAGAAATCTACTGTTGCTCTGTTAGTCGTTCCAAAAGTGCAGCATACTAGAAGAATTTACTAGCCAGTCCCAATGGAAAAAAGAAAATAGCAAAACAAATATGAAGGCAGAAGCATCTTTTAGGGGTAGAAACTTACGTCTTGGTCCAGTTCTTTTCCTGTCTGCTGGGGGAGGAGGCAGAGTGAAAGTATTGCATGGATGCCCAGGAGGTAGAGAGTAGCCCAAAAAATGTGAAGGAGGGGGAGGTGGGAAAACCAAAGTCGTTGTGTTCTATTTGCGGACAGTGGCACTTATGTTCGGACTGATACTCATGTTTGGGACCTGGTCATTTTCCTGTGCATCTTCACCTGAAAAACATGCCATAATTTTACTGGAAATGTGAATAAAGCTACAGCAAGAGCACAATTCTGTCGCTAACTACGATACAAGCTTGCATCACCAGTCGAGAAAATGCAGTACGATACAAGCTGTTCAAGACCCATCACTGACAAATACCCTCCACACCAGTTTTAAACAACCTCCTGACGAGAGAAGTGCAACTACCATGAAACGACCTATGTCTCATGAATATTATCACAATCTGAATCCACCAACAATCTAAATTGAGCAACATTTCCAAAAAAAAACTATCTAATAGAGTATCTCTTTTCAACCCCTAGATAATAGCATTGTTCTAATACTAAGGCAAAAGCTCCAGAGAGTCCATGTTCAAAGCACAAATCACTCAAACAAGCAAAAGGGGGGATGAATGATCAAATTAATGGAGTAGATGGAGAGAGTATAACAAACCTTTTCCTACATACAAAACCCAGAAAAAAACTGCGGCAGAGATTACGCAGAGCATCAGCATTCCAACCTTCCTCCGGCCGACGGACTTGCGGGTCCAATGAAAGAACCTATCCTTCTCCTTGAACATCTTAGCAGGCTTAGTCCGAACTTTCGATTGAATTGGCAAGAGATGATTGCTACCACCGTTCTGTTGTTGTTGTAGTTGCTGCGGTTTGTCCAATGAACCATAACTCCCTGAGCGGATCCTCAATGAACCTCCGTTCATTGTCTCTCCTCCTTAAACCCCACGCCCCAATAGCTTAATCCCCCTCTCATCTCATCTCCCTTTCTCTCTTCCCCTCAAATCAAGAAACCCCAAATCTGTATATTACCCAATGATCTTCAAACTTCGAACCCAGTACGAGAGGAAGACACTCGAATTCCCGCGAATTCAGATGAGACACGAAGCTTGTGAAAACAACAAACGAAAAGATCATCGATGGAGACACAGGCGGTTACCGATTTAGCTTCTCCATCTGCTATTTCCGATTCCCCTTCCAACTGTTCGACGTCGCCTCTCCACCGCTATCTCCATCGATTTTGTTTAAGACATTACAAGTATGGAGTTTCTTCGCCATCCAGCCCTTCCCCCAGCTATCGAGTCTGTGATTTCGTCTGGAAACGTTCAGACCGTAAAATTTATTTTCCGATCAGTCCTTCCTCATCCACCTCTCAAGCCCGCGATTCAATCCCTCAATCCTCGAACAGAACTAATCGATCACTTCCTTAATCCGTAGATAGCGACGGGAAGCGCAAAAAATTTAGCGATTGGAGAGGGCTTGGGAGGAGAACTGATTCGATAGTTATGGATGAGAAGATAGGGTTCGTCACTCACGATAAAGGGCAAATGGGAAAGGGGGATTTGGTGTTGAAACGATAAAATTGCTCTGGGGATAGATCTACCAGCTTTGGTAGAAATTAAACGTGACTTGATGGAGATACAATCAGAAAATTTGGGTGTTCAAGTTATTATTAGAAGAAAATTTGGTACGTTAATGAAAAAATATGTGAAAAATTTGTGTAGGGACTAAAGAGCACGTATAAAAATGTGTTGGTATCGACTAATTATTTTAAAATTGTAAATAATAAATAATTAAAATAGATTTAATAAACACCGTTAGATTAGATCAACGGTAATGAGAATCTGGAGCATACTATGCGTCAGGAGCATACGAGTCTGACCCATATATATATATATATATATATATATATATATATATATATATACACATACATACATATGTATGCCTAGGGTATAAACCGAACCCTACTAGTATATTTAGGTAACTCTGGTAATTAATGTAAAATTACAAAAAGCTACCGAAACAAACTATGTCGTCACTTCAACAAACACTCCGCCCTCTATCCTATTTATGAAATTATGACCGTTGAACCAAGCCCACAGAAACGGGGTTGATGTTGAAGCCCCTAGATGGCTGAGTAAGAAAGCAAAAGCTAGCACGAGATAGAAAATGATGATATTTAATAGATATTTAGAGGTATTCCCCTCCACTTACTTGGTCCCAAGCGACATAAGAGAGGAGAGACATGCTCCTCTTGTTCTTCTCTCTACTTATACTCCTCTCTTTGTATTCCTTTGTTCCTTTGAATAAAGACTTGTGGAGGAATGCAAAGGATACAACAAGAACTCTACTCTCTTTTGTCCTGTATGGCTCGTACCAAAGAATAGAAGAGGAGTAAGCCTCTTGATGAGAGAGTAAGAATAAGTAAACAAAAAACTTATGCCCTTCATTTTGTACATTGATTCGAACCAAAGAGGAAGGAAAAAGAAAGTAAGCCTCCCAATGGAAGAAGGCGCATCCCTTTGCTTCCATAAGCTTACTTCCTCATACTTTTTTTGTTGCAACCCTTATTCCGATTAAGCGTAAGAGAGAGCATGTAACATCTCGAACTTTTTTCCGACGAAGATATTGTCCGCTTTGGATCTCGACCTTCACGGCTTTTGACTTGGGATGCAATTGAAGGTGACTTCCCATAAGTTCACCCATCCTTGTTGTACTCCACACCGAGCAGGTTTAACTTCAGAGTCCTCACAAGAACTCTTCCATTTCACCCTAAAATGCGTCTTGTCATTTAAGGTCGGTTTCTTACTTATGAACCATGGATTGCTCCTGTGTTTTGTCGATGTGGGATTCACCTAAGGTGTTACATACGCCCCCCTTGGGACTCAATGTCCTCGTTGAGGTTTGCCCCACAATCGTTCAAGAGGGATGCAGAGAGGCTTTGATACCACTTGTAACATCCCGAACCTTTTCCCGACGAAGATATTGTCCGCTTTGGGTTTCGACCCTCACGGTTTTCGACTTGGGGTGCAATTCAAGTTGACTTCTCATTAGGTCACCCATCCTTGTTGTACTCCACACCGAGCACGTTTAAATTCAGAGTTCTCACAAGAACTCTTCCATTTCACCCCAAAACGCGTCTTGTCAGTTAAGGTGGTTTCTTACTTATGAATCATGGATCTCTCCCGTGCTTTGTCGATGTGAAATTCGCCTAAGGTGTTACAGAGTACAAACGCGTCAATAAAAAAAGTTTCTCTCCATTTTTCTTACTTGTTTTGAATCAACAGTTCTGATGGTGGAGACGAGATGGTGAAAAATAGCTTCTCGGTCGACGACGGTAAAAAGCAGAGCCATCAAGTCACCGGGGTATGATGATGGTGGTCACAAAGAAAATACGGGGCAGGGATACACTTGGTGATGGTTGATGAGACCGGTAAGTGGAGGAGATCACACACATAGGGTTTAAAATTGGTGGAATTTCAAAGGAAATGCACTGTGGGCGGGAACGAGTCAAATGGGAAAGGAAATAAGAATAGGTTTCTTGCTTAAAATCATATAAAATCATGGAAATTGTACATTCTACAAATTTTATAGTTTTAGTTGGGATTATTGTGCAAATATATAATAGTAAATTTAATCAGAGTTAGAGTTCATATAAGATTGTAAAATTGTAGGATTTTAGGATTAACATTAAGTTTTTACTACATTGCTGTAGGTGGGTAATTTCGGGAGCTGGAGCAAGGCAACAACCACCACGACTGTGGCCGTAGCTATCGCAAGCCAAAGGCCTGTCACAGCTAGGGGTAATGTTGGGAATGGGAATGGACCTCATTAAGTTTTTACTATAGAAAATCGTTGTGCTATGTTGTTGGTGGGTACTTTTGAAGATGAAAAGAGTAGTAGCAAGCTACACATTTAGGAAAGGTGTATGGCGTGAATAAACTTTGAGGGTAAGATTGTTCTGAAGCGATCAAGGATGATGAAGATCTATTTCCAGTTTGCTTTGGACATTGTTTTTTTTCATTAGTATTGAACTATTTGTTATGTTTGGTTTATATTTGGGATTGTTTGAGGATTAGGGATACTTATTTGCAATTTAGAACTATATATATTTAATTATTTATGTGTTGGTTTACATAAGACATTAAGAGGTCGTTTGGAAGTTAGGAGTTTTTTTTTACATAAACTTGTTCAGAATGCATGCATTTAATTGAAACTTTAGAACCTCAAATGATTTGAATCAATCATTTTAGATTCTCTACAAAAAGGTGAGATTCTCTTGTTGTACTTTTCTAATTGCTTTTTTGCACTCTTATGCTCATTCTTTTTTTTATATTTCATTTTTGCCCCTCTTTTAATGATTATATTAAGATAATTTCAAGGTTAAATATGTCTTTCAGGTCATTAAAGTGAGAAACCTTCTATTTTTCAAAAGTGAAAATCACAACTACCAAACAACATATTATTACAATCATCTATTTCTCACAATCACTACACTTAGAATACTTACATTGCAAGAATACACATAATGGTAGACTCCCAACCTCCAAACGACCCCTAAACATAATAACTTAGTTGTTTCTCAACCATAATCCCTCTCAAACTTTTGCATTCTTCCTCAATTGACGATCGCCCTCTTCCCTTTCTTGATTGACGAGCCCTTCACTAATTTCCCCCTAAAATGTTTTTCTCCTCTACCTAAATTATGTTCCTATCTTCCTCTAAATTGCCTCTTGTACTTAGGAATGACAATGGATAGACTCATTTGGTAAGTTGACTCAATTATATTGTCATGACCCATATATGTGTCGAGTCACATTCAAATGGAACCATATGCATTCTTGATTTTATTGAGCTTGGGTTGAATTTCGATTAGGTCCAATTTCGGTAAAACTCATTTGGGTCGGACTCAAATGGACCTATATGGATCCAATTGATTGTACACAGAAAAAAGCAATTTAGACCATCTCGCTAACTTCCTTGAACACATTCACTCCTTCAATGTTAGTGCTTTAATATTTTTGTTTGTTTCGAACAAAGAAAAGGCAAAAAAGTTGCATTAGAATCGTGTGTTCATTTCTTTTGGATACTCAATGCTACGGATCTAGTTTAGAAGCAAACTAAGAGGTTGAGTTTGATAATACCTAAATTTGGAGTCCTTTTGTCATCCCTAATTGTACTTCTTATTACTTAGATGCCTCTAAGAGGGTTTCATCAGTGGTCAAATTTCAACCCTATATGGAAGCACCCACTTATAAAACCAACTCTTATAATATGTCATATGCTCAAGTTTTGAGTTCGATTGATGTGTCAAAGCACGATTTCCATCACTTATTCCCATTCTCGAATAGCAAAATAATTGGCAACAAAATAAACTCTTCTACACAGATTACATAATATTGATGATGTACATAAAGCATTTATAAAACTTGTGATAACAGAAACACATTTGCCTTCGTGTTTAAACCATCATCTATCTCATTGGCAAAGTTGAGAACATAAGATTTGAATTTGGGTAGGGTTGTCCTCTGGAAGAATGTATACGCCACTTTTTCCCGTAGACAAGCAAGTTAGATTCAACTGAGGTCCAAATTGGGATGACTGCAAAGAAAGAGAAATGTAGCTTATTTATTCATATGAATAGTCATGAGTAACAATCAGGTGGTAATATATCGATACAATAATGACTAAAATCGGTCAGTATAACATTGGTCATCAATTTAATCATGTTGTATCGATCAATATAAGCTCTTTTTATAAATACGTAGAATATTATTTAATTAGCAAAGTTAATATTTTTTTAATCCGGTCACTGATATGATACAGTAAGACAAGTCATGAAAAAACCTACATCAATGTCGTCCATACAGAATGAAGAACAAAATACTATTTTTACCTGACAATATACTGTTGGTGATTTGCAACTCCATAATGGGGTAGGTATACATGTCATATACTGGCACCAAGAACAATGCTCTTTCACATTAACCCCTTTAAAAAGCTCCAATAGTCCGATGGTAAATCTGCAAGAAGATCCAATGATTATGCATCTCAAAGACTCAAACAAAAGCACTAAATTTCCTTAACTCATCTTATTCATGTATGAATGCATAAAGAGTAAGAGCAATATCTTACCCGGTAATCAAAAGTGTCAAGGATATAACAAGGAGCATACACTGATATGCCTTGTACTTAGACTTAGCAGGAGGTGCAATGTAACCTGGTGGGCAAGTCTTTTGACTAACCCACCCAAACTGTGGCCGAATCAAGAAAATAAAACCTAGCAGAAAGCCAGAGATGAAGCCTCCAATATGCGCAAAATTGTCCACATGTGGGAGCATCCCGACTGCTAAGTTTAGTAAGACGATGATGACAAGGCTCATAAATGCTGCAAACTGCATGCATGGCAAAATTTCATAGTGTTTAGCTGACAATCTAAATGTTGGAACTTGATGTACTAAACCAACAAACCCTAAGTAGCAATACGTACCTTGTTTGCATATATTGTCCAATTTGTGATCAACTCTGAGAGCATGGCACCAAGTAGTCCAAAAAGGGCACCCGAAGCACCAACTGAAATACCGAACTCAAGGAAAAGAGCTGACATCAAACTTCCACCAAAACCAGAGAGGAGGTAGACCAACCCTATTCGAACTGTAAAAGTACATAAGTAGGTGTTACATCCTCATTTAGGATTAAGAAACAAGAAACAAGTTTAGTTTCTTGATGTGGATATTCCTATGTCTACAAAAACTACGTGGATAAATAAATATTTGTATGAGAAATTTTATTGTCTATGAAATTACTTGAGGTTCATTTGCATGGTGTATTTGAATGAATGAGTTGTTTGTAA